CTGCCTCTGCCTGCGGGGCTCGGGCAGCGCCTGCCCGGGGCTCCTGGGGCCAGGGCACGGCCTGCGCCCCTCGCAGCCTCCTGCTCACAGACCCTGGCTCGCTCAGAGGACACGCAGCGTTCCCTCCCTGTTTCCCCCACAGCCCTTGCTGCTGTTCCTGGCTTCCCCTGGGTCTCCGCTGTGTTGCCCCTTGGGCCCCAGGCACCTTCTCAGCAGCTGGTGGAGTGGTAAGTCACAGAAGAGGGATGCCAGCCCTGGTAGATGGCTGCAGAGGATGTTAAATGCGTTGGTATTTGGCTATTCTCTCTCTGGTTTCTCTTTACCACTCCAGTCTGTTGCTCCTGATCCCACCACAACCTGTTTGCTGCTTGCACACTCTCGTATGACCTTCCTGGGACTCCCAGCAGCTGAGCTGGGGCTCTGTAAGGTTGCTTCTCTGGGTTACAGCAGTGGCAGTCTGAGCGCAAACCTGCCAGCTAGGCACCTTGTTATCCCATGATACCCCATTTGCTTTTGCCCAGCCTGCAGTTTTAAAGACTACTTTGCTCTCACAATTTGTTGAAGCTTACTTTCTCTTGGATCTTCTTCCAACTTTCTTTCCTGCTGCCTCTATGGATCCCCTCTTCAGCAAGTCCTGTGGGCTGATTTCTTCCAAACAGCAGCACTCCCCAGCAGTGCTTCTTGTCCTTGGGCAGGGAAGCTCCCTGTCCTCTGTGCTGTCCTGTAGCTGTGCCTTTTATGCCAAGTGAGTTACATACACAAAGGGTCCAGAACAAACTGGTGCTTGCCTTTGGACCCGTTTTCTCAGTGAAGATACCTGTGTGTCTCCAGCATTTTTTTTAGGCTGCCACAACACAAGCTGCTTTGTGCTGTCTTTCACGTGGGTGCTACTCTAACCTAGCTGCTTTGTGAATTCCTGTCCTGTTTGGTAAAGTTGCCTCTTTGGTAGTAAGGAACCTGAGGATAGCCAAGATGTCCTCACAGGCAGAGAAATGATTCACTGTGCAAGCTCAGCAGCTGAAAATGGCTTTAAAGAAATGAGAAACTGAACATGGCTTTAAAGAAATGAGAAACGAGACAGGAGGTAGTGTTTACCACAGCACAGCTGGGACCTGCCACCACCTGCTCCAGCTAAGGTTGATGTCTTGTACTGGGACAATCTCACATCTGGGGCTAGGTTTTTGTTCTTCTTTTTCCTTCATTTTTTATTGGCTCACCAACTCTCAAACTGCTTCTACACGATTACATCGGCATAAAATGTATTTTGTTTAGATCAAACCTTTTTATAACTACATGAACTGGAAGACTGGAAGGAACGTGGTTTAGGAATGTCTCTTAGTAACACTGATCGTTGGTGTTAGAGGCAGGGTTGCTGTGGTGCTGTTGTCTTCAGATGCAGTGTGGGCTGAGAGGGGTAAAATATCAGTGCTGTCATCTAATACAGAGGAAGCAACATTGCTGTGTCTTTTTGGGTAACTTGGAAAATAGCCTGCTCTGCTGCTGTTCATCTGGGGCAGTAACTGCAGTTAAGCCCTGCCATTATTGGATTGTTGTTGGAAGAGGGAAGTACTCTTTCTGTGTGTGTGTGGGTGGTGGGGACTAGTCCAGAACACAGAAATGCTGCAGCTGAAAACGTGGCTGGCTTGGAGCTTCTCCCTGAGAGTGTGCCATGTTTCCCTCTAGTGGACTTGTCTCACAGTGGAAACTTGTGCCTACAAAAATCAGTTAACAGGAGTTCAAGGAGAAATTACTTTGAATAAGAGCCTGAGGGTACCCCTAAGCCAGTATATGTACATTGAAGTGGTGCATGGTTTTATTGTAATGTGGAGTAGTGAGGAGTTGGGAGACAGCAGCATAAGAGATCAGAGGCGATGTGTTATTAAACCTGACTGACTGTTGTATTCTGCATATTTTTTGAGTTGTGGTTCACTTTTCTACAGAAAGACTGAATTGACTTGGAGACCATTTTCTCTTATGTACAATGATAAAGGAAAAATCTCTCTGCTTTGAGGCCTGTTTCTAAGAAAGTAAAGGCATCTGTTTTTCACCAGTAGGTGGTTCATTGCATCTTTGTTTCACTGGTTCCATTCACTTGCCCTCTACTCCCTCTGCAAGCTCTCTTCCCAGCTGAATATTGGTGTTATATTTTTACAGCACATTGATAATTTATACCAGTCCATTCAACAAAACATGAAGACTAAAACCAAAGGGAAGAAACAAAGGCAAACTGTTGACAAAGAAGCATTTTCCGAAGAGCCAGCCATGAGAAAAAAGGAACTGGTGAAATGTTTGCGACGCAAAGAAAGGAGGAATGGGGCAAATAAAGAGAGCAGCAAGATCCCCACAGCCAGAGCCAAGCGTCCTTGGAGCAGTAAGGACAGGCTGTTGAGGAGGCTGGAAAGCAACGAGCGCGAGAGGCAGAGAATGCACAAGCTCAACAACGCCTTCCAGGCCTTGCGGGAGGTGATCCCTCACGTGAGAGCTGAGAACAAACTTTCCAAAATAGAGACTCTCACGCTGGCCAAAAATTACATTAAATCCTTGACCTCCATTATACTCAATATGTCCAATGGACACTTTCCAGCAGTGGAAGGGATGGGAGGAACCTGGGGATCCAAATTGTACCAGCATTATCAGCAGCAGCATGGGGAGGATGACCAGGAGGAACATCTACAGAAATATTCCACATAGATTCATAACTTCAGCCAAAACACCAACTGCCAACTACTACTGTCATTATTTTTCCTTCTTACATCATAATATGTGTCATAACCTAGAAGTTTCAAGAGATTATTTTTGTCTCCAGTCTCTCCTTTTTTTTCTTAAAAAGACAAACAGGTAACACTCATGGCTACTGTTTTTATATGGCACGTTAAAAAATTATCTTAAACCCTCAGAATTTTTCAGAGTATAATGAATGTATTTGTGTGGTGTGCCAGGGTCTGGAAACCTATCCTGTAACACTGGAGTTGACTTGAAAATAGTGATTTAATAACTTCTGAAAATTAACCTACTTGGAGTAGAGTGAGTTGAGCCTTTAAGGTCTATGTCACCCTAGTTCCTTGGAGGTTGTTGAGAATCTTGGCCACAGCTCTGTTCACCAGCCTTTCAATGACTCATCTACTGTGCTAAAGAGAAGATTAAAATTGATGACAGAATTCGACAGACTTGGTGACTGAAGTGGCACATATGGGAAATTGGTCACCAAATCTGAATATTTATCTTGATATTTAACCTCTGTGGATCTGCCCTGGTAATTTTGAACCTTGCAAGGCATAAAAACATCTTTTGATGCAAACATCTGCAAAGCTTTCTTAGATTGTAAGCTCTCTAGAGTAAGGACAGTTCTGATCTGTGTTTCCAGAGCATCTGGCCTCATGGAGATTTTCTTTAGTGGGTGTCTGGGTGCCCCTGTATTACAAATAATAAATAAGGGACAAATTATTTAATTTTTGTCAAGACAATGATAAAAATGCATTAGTATAGTTTTAAGTTAGACAATGCTCTGGCCAGTTTAAATTATTTGCTAATGAAGCCTGTGCTGTGATCAGGTTCTTTCTGGGTTAGTGTTAGATTCTGATACTATAAAACAATAAATGAAGCAGAAACTCTTCAAAAAGGAAAACAAGCTCTTTTTTTCCCCGTCCCCTCTATCCCCTTCTGTGGTTAAAGTTTTATGTCACTAAGGAACTCATACCTGAAGCTGGAGTTTGGTAGTGTGGTGCCCATGGAGCCCCTGTGTCACAGCTTCCCCCTCCCCAACATGTTCATGGAACAGGAGGCTGCTGCTCCGTGCTGTGGTGGCACAGGAAACATTTGGCACCTCATGCATCACTAGGATTGATCATGGTTTGTGGCATGGTCCTTTTCCTGCAGACAAGGGTGGTCCAAGGAGGAATGGGGGCTGAGGAAAGATTTCTCAGATCCATCACAAAAGGATCGTGCTGCATTGTGCAGTTTGGAATGGGTTTGTAGTTTGCTGCAGCACAGCTGAGGGGATGACAATGTAATTCAGAGTGAAAGGTGAAGTTTCCCACAGAGGCTGGTAAAGGATGTGAATTATTTTTCTCCACCACAGCAGTCCATAGCTATGATGTAGAACAACACCATCATTTATTCATGTGGTTGCCTTACTGCAGAAAGCATTTGGATCCTGCCTCAGACGGAATTTTCTTAGTGGTTGAACTGTTTTCACATTAAATTAAATTTGATTAAGCCTTTCTTGTACTCAGGTGTTAGTGAAAGAATTGCAGAGTCTTAGAGATTTAACTTGCCACTACATTGCTGGATCTTACTCCATTCACCAGCTGTCCCGTGTGGCTAAATTAATCCTCAGTGTATTTTATACACTGATTACAATGGGTCAGTCAGTAACAGCAAGGCCTTTTCTTCCAGTTATTCCACTCAGCAACTCTTCAGGTAAGAAACGTTCACGTTATTTGATTATTTCTCACCCTCTAGGTCAGTGCAAACCGTGGCTCTGTGTGTCACACAGTAAGTGATGACCAAGCATTTGTAGATTATGGTAATTTTTTTGTAGGATTCTTTAAAGGTCATTATCTGAGAGTTTCCAGCTAGTAAACATCCCTGGAATGCTTCTGTGGGATAGTTATGTTTGAACTGGTGTTTGATTGCATTGGTGGAAAGAGGGAACCAGCAAGTTTAAAATCCAGCATTTTAACAGTGCTGTTGATGAAGGATTGCAGTTTAAGAACCAAATATGCTGGTACTGCTCCTAAACATACAGAGTTCAATGCTTGGGCATTTTTGCTTGGCCTTGGGCCTATTTTTGACTTTCTGCAACCAGAGGCATTTCAAATATGACCAAAATGACACATCATATATACATATATAGCTATAAATACAGCAGCCAAGGAGGCAGGTGAAAGTTACCCCTTCTCTGAACACTGCCATTCCTAAGGCACAGTGAGGCTGAGGACAGGCATTTTTATGGAATTACAACTGCTAGTTCCACAGTGGTACGTTGTAGCAAAGTGCTGTGTTCTTGGATATGTCAAAAGGGATTTTGTAAGAAGCTTTTTTTTTCTGATAAATTACTTTTATTTTTCAAAATTGCTTCAGTTTAAAGTCACTTTTTCTTATTTTAACTAGCCACAACAATGACATTATAATTTTTAATGAAATAATTTTCTAAATAATATTTAGAAGGCAAATACTTAGTACTTAAACATAAACAACTTAAAACTTTTTTTTTTTTCACTTAAACCCAGCTTTTTACAGTAAAATAAGTGAAACTTGGCAATGTAGGGAAAAATGCAAAGGTACATTATAAAGCTTATTGTATGCAATCAGGTTGATTGTTGAAGATGTAAACACTGACTATTAAAAGGAAAAATCTTGATACAATGCAGAGAAAAATACAATCCTAATAATTCTCTAAAAATACAAGTAATAACGTTATTTATTTGGACAAGATACTGTGCAAGTTATGCAAAACCTATTATGGTAATTAATGCAACACATTATTTATGGTTCTCCCACAATGTATGTATAAACCAGAAATCTAATCACATACTGGAAAGATCAGCAGGTTCTTTCTTTAACAGTAAAGCATCTTCAATCTTCATTCACATTTGGACTTGGAAACAGTGCTTTCCTTGGCATTAAATACCAAATATATTCCTTAAATACGTGCAAACATAAGTTTTACTTCTACAAATACAGTACTGAGACCACACCAAACTGCTCATCATATAAAAATAGCTTCATATACAGTCACACACAGAAAGGAGAAATGAATGTAAAGTGTCCAATTATGATAAGTCAGGAAAACTTTTTTTGAGAATAGAAAGTGGTTTCACATTGGAAAAAAGGATGAATAAATAAATCACTTACTCAAAATGAAGAGCAGAGCTTCATTCTGAACTGCCATCAGTGTACACTGGCAAACTCTACTGCTATCAGTCCTACATTCCTACCACTGTAAAGTCAGAGTTTAAGACCTTCCCTTGACTTCTACAGTATGAAAGCATAATTTGCAGTGATCTTGAACACCTGCAGGGTCTGGTGCCTTCCAGCCTCCTTACATAGGCATCTGTGTACCTCAGTTATCCCAGTGTCAGTTCAGCTGAAGGCAGAACATGATTTCCCAGCACTTGCAGTGACAATTCAGAGCGAGACATTGCTGAGCCCGACTGACCAGGACTGGGCTCTCCAGTGGCTCCCTGAAACCAGGGGTTCTGCTGCCTGATTAACCCATTGCTCACTGTGAGCAAAGACAACAAAAATGGGCACTACCTGGTAACAGCAGCCTAAGCAGAGTTGTACAGAATTTGATTTTGCTGATGGGAGCAAGAACAGCCTGACCCAAGTCCACCCTTACACACGGAGCCTTCCCATGAGCAGAGCTCTGTGCATGTGTAAGGGCTCCACAAAAAGGACCAAACTGTGTTTGCCTGCAGTTGATTCAAACTGAAACATCATCTGTACTCAGAGATGAGTACAGTGTGCAAGATGTGTGAATATGAGAGAAATGTAGGGAGCGTAAAAAGAAGAATTAAATGCAGTGATCATCGGTGCAAATATTCACATTTGTATGGTGTGTAGCAGCTATGGTAAAAGGTCAGAAATACACTGGTTAAAAACCTTGCCTGCTTTGACAAAACTATGAAATCTATCAAGTCACATTTTACACAAGATGAATTAGAAGGATTCAGTACTTAAAATACCCCATTGCAAAGTCCAGTTCAGTCAAACATATTAGTAGCACAAAAATGTCATGTTTCTCTCTCCAAGCAGTAGACATTTCTTTCTTTTTAAACTATTGCATGCTGCTTGTTAGCAACACATGATGGCAACACTCTAACAGTTAACAGAATATCTGTCCAGTTCTTGACTTTCACTGACCATCAGAGGGGTCTTAGAGTGTTCTGTTTTCCCTTTACTCTCATCTTCTCCCTCCTTCGATGGTGCTGGGTTTTCCTCGGCGGTGTCAGGCATGGCACCCCGAGCTGCTTCTGTTGCATTTCCTCTGACTGTAATGTGCTCCCACCCACCCTGTGAAAAAGGGATACAGAAATTCAAAAGGAGAAACATCACCCTGTCAGTGCTGTAGATGATGTGATGCTTTATGTGCACTGCTAATTTATACTATTTGTTCATGAGGAAAGTAACTGCTCTGTGATGAATCAGAAAAAAGGCTCCTTTTAAAATGAAACAAAACACAGTAGACCTCCCTGACAGGGAGTTATAGAGGTGGTAAACTTGAGGATTGCTTTTTGTCATGGGGAATTGAGATTAGTAGGGTCAGGCATTCATAACAGAGCCACTGCAGGTATTCCACCAACTTAAAAGGTGACAAAACCTTGAAATAGCATTTCTCAAAACACTCAGATTATTACACAGTACAACAATGAGGAATAATCATGTGCAGACCAGGAAGGAATCCACTTTTTTTTAAATGGCTCTTACTCCACTAGTTTTTCCACTGTAGGTTTTAAATTACCTATTTAAGATGAATACTTATCAAATGCAAATAAACAACTTCCCAGCTACTATGACTGTGACTGCACAGCCCATTATAGTAACTTCAAAAAGGAACCTAAACCTGAAGGAAAATGTCCGTTTCCTGAAGATATATCCAAGCTTTCCAATGCAGGCCAGCCAGGCAGGATGGCACTTCCCTTTCTCTGAGAGCCCACAGACATTGGGATGTACCACTTCAGGCAGATCTGTGCCCCCAGCACTTACCCCAATACCATAATCCCAGGAGAGGCCCTTAGGTTCCAGGGGCTGGACACCAGTCCGATGGCAGACGGTCCCACAGCTCAGACTGTGGCTGCCCTGCACTTTGTCAGCTATCACCCACACCTCAAGGAAGCAGAGAGAGGCAGTAAAATGTGCTGCTCTTCCCAGATGTGAAATATCTGCCTGATCCCT